AGATGTGGTGCTATCTTTAGGAAAACAAAAAATTCCTAGCGTTGCTTCAACTACAGTCACAAAATTTTCCCACTGTTCTCTCTGGACTCTAGTTCAGGCTACATCTGTTTCTAGAATGCTTGTTTTCCTCCATCAAATTTACCTGAAGGACATTGACAAGGATCATGGAGTTGGTTACTTGCCCATACAGCTCCTGTTGTTTAGCAGCATAGGAAAGGTTAATTAGAGTCCACGCTACAATACCAGGGCGCCCATTGAAGAAGAGCTTGAAATCAAACCACTTTCCTATTCGAGGATTAAATTCAATCCCCATCATGTAGTCATAAAAAAAGTTGCCAGTGAATTTGCTGGAAAGAAAAAGAGATTACAAATTAATGCAGACATGCACAAGTTCAGGGAATTGCTATTCTGTCTATACACTTCACTTGATTTCCCAGGGCGCTTAATGGTTATAAAAATCATAAAATGAGGCCATGTTTGCATTAAACCAATTGATCTGAAGTATTACATTAGTAAAGATAAATTTTAGCTTCAAAGCATTATATTTTACACTCACTTTACTATAATGTTACACTCAATGTTACTTTACTATAACCTTATTCTCAGTCTCAGATAGGAATGGATGTATCCATGACACCACACGACATGAAGCATGAAGCATTGAGGATGGGGGAAATTAAACAAAAAACTGCCATCCTGCTTATCTTGACCTACTTCTCTGTGCCAATAACACAAATCCTTTCATTACCATTCTGTGTAGTGTTCAATGTTATGTCAGATTTCCTACTATTCTTTCATTATTAGAAACCACATACCAGTCTTTGGCATTAGTAGGAAAAAAGTAGCCTTTAATCATTGCAAACGTGGAAACTACATATCCCAGGATGTTGGCACACCACAGAAGAGGAATCCAATTGTCAAAAATGATGGTAGGTGAGAACCAGTGGAAGTAATAGGCATTTGCAAACCAAAGCACATGGGTGATGATCCAAGCCTGAAGTCCATTGATTTCATATTTATTTACTATACCTGAAAAGTAAAGAAAAATAAAATGAATGTTACCATGATATTGCTCTAGTACAGTTCTTTCTCCAGAAAGCTCAATCAAATACTCAAGTTCTCCCCATCTCCCTTGAATTTCACCCTCCCAAATATATTTCTCACATGGTACCTTCACAAAAGTTTCACTATAGTCCGGTGTAACCATCAGCTATGCTAGACTGTGCTTTTTTTTCTGCTGTTTTTGCAAATTGTAGATTTGGAATCTCTGCGAAAACTGACTAGGATCTCGTGTTACTCTTTGTTACACTTAGTTTTTGTTTTGGTTAAGTAAACAGAAAGGTAAATGTTTTTATGTCCATATTTCCTTTAGATATATACGGATTACTTAAACATTTTAAGTAAAGAAATATTATCATTTAAAAAGTGTGTAGAGTGGGCATATTCTAAAGAACACCTTACCAGCAGGAGTAACAGCACCTTCCTGCACACCTCCTACGTATCCAGGAAGAAACTTATGGCAGAAATCAGGAACAAAGGCGTACAAAATCACCTAAAAGAGAGAGAATGTCACAATGAAAAACTAGACAAAACTGTCTCTTTAATACACATACCAAAGAAAATATTCAGCAGTTTCAATTGAGCATTGGTTAAGCATTACTGCAAGATGTAACTGATG